CTTTGGGGGATGTCTGACTGCCAGTTTAGGCCCAATCCCGTAGGGATCCCTAAACTGGCAGTCAGACATCCCTCTTGCAATCTGGGACCGCTGGCTCTTACCACTCACCTGCCTGCCTGCCTGATTGCCCTTAACCACTCTGTCTGCCTGCTTGATACCCCTAATCGCTCACCTGCCTGCCTGATCGCCCCTAACCACTCTGCCTGCCTGCCTGCCTGATCACCCCTAACTGCTCGCCTGCCTGCCTGATTACCCCTAACTGCTCGCCTGCCTGCCTGATTGCCCCTAACCGCCTCTGCCTCGGCCCCTGCCACGGCAGCTTTGTCCGGAAGGATGTCCGGAATGACATCCGGAAGGTCATTTGGCTGTCCAGTCTAATTAGCATATTATGCTTTTATTATTATAGATAATGCTAGTATCAAAAGCATCCAGTAGGAAGCACACACTGGCTGATTAGTAGGAGATGACACAGCACCAAAAAGTAATTGAAAGTTAGAAAGAGATAAATCAGTATGAAAATAATCAAGCTATCTGCTGTGAAATTAGTAATGCAATATCAAAGTGCTTTGTTCAGTCCAGAGGAAAACTGATAGAAACTGGACAAGTCTTGTAAACCAGGAAGAACCTAGTTGTTGCTAAGTTATTATCACCGAGGTGGAGAAGAGTTGAACTAAAGAATTAAAGATACATAGAACATCTCTTCATTTGGAACTAATGCTTTAACAAAAAGTGTCTACTTTATTGAGCATCACTGATTAGATCTTCAAAGTCTTCAAAATTACCATTGTTCATGGTGCTGTGTGGTTCAGATCCTCTGATATCTGCCTTTCAAAGACTGTGGTCTGAGCCCCACAACAGGGAAGCAGAGACACACATACATGTTCTCCACCACAGGCACAGTTCACACACAGCTGAACATGTATCTGTGGAGCAAGTATATTTTGGAGGATAGAAAGTCTTGCAAGGCATGTTTTTAGAAAGGGTGGGTAACTCACCACCTACTTTGACCAGACAGGCAGGGCTTTGTGTAGGAAGGTGGAGCTGTCAGGAACTGTCTGAATGGTGGCAGGGAAAAGCTTAACTGGCTGGTGGTGAGAGCCATTCCAAACGCATGGCTCAGCTTAGGAGCGAGAGTGAGAATAATGATTTTTGCAGACAGTCAGGGTGGATGAGGTTACTCTGAGAAGCCCAGGGAAATGGAGGTGCAGGGCATGCTTCTGATCCTACTGTGTTAGCTATGGAGAAATGCAAGCTCACAGTTAGCCCCTTCTCTACCAGGCACTGGCCACAGTGTTCACTTGTGTGTTTGTGCAATTCTCTTCTCATTTATAAGGGGTACGTAATAATATACTCTGCTATCTACAGAAAGTTGTTTCATCATCTCAAAGGAGATTCTGTAGATGAAAGAGCTTTTATTCCCAGAGGGCTAGAGTTAAAATGCTCAGGGCTCCAACACAGTAAAGATTAGATAAACAATAGGCCAGAGTCCCTCCTCAACCCTTTACTCTTAAAGAGACACACTGCCACCTTTCCCACCTCCTGCACATAGCCCACTGGACTTTTAGCTTCTGATTTAGGGACACACCAGGTTATCCTGCCTTTCAAGTGGCCATTTCCAAACTCCAGGAATATACTAGTGGTTTGCTTGGGTTGTATCCAAATGCCACCTCAACCTCTCTGAATAAATACAGGATGGGTGGCAACTGTAATCTGCCTACTATTCTAACCCACTTCAAGACATTTTCCATCTTTTTTTTTTTTTTTTTTGCTTTCCAAGGGAATTATCCCTTGTTTATCCTTTAATTTTTTTTAAAAAAAATCCACTTCATCTATGAATTCTTATATCATTATCTTTGTATATCACTTCACATATATAATTTAAATTTTTTATTCATTAGCATGGGTAGCAGAGGAGTAAAAAAAGGGACATGGGTGAAGGGCCTTTGTGATAGTAAAGTAAGAAATGTATTAGGAAGAAGGCCCTATCTAGATTAAGTAGCCAAACTCTCTCCTTTGGGCTTATATCTACTTTTACAGATAAGGAAATTGAAATTTATGGGGATCCAGAAGCTAGGACATGGTAAAATAATGACAATATCAGTGATGATGACGATAATCGCTGGTTATGTGATAGAGTCAAGATTTGAACTCAGATCTGACGTTAGGCCAGTGATGTCCAACAGAAATGTAATGCGAGCTACATATGCAATTTAAAAATTTTTAGCACCTACATTATAATAATTAAAAACAAACAGGTGAAATTAAATTTAATATATTTTATGTAACCAATGTACCGCAACATGTGATAAATATATAATTATCAGTGGAGCATTTAATATTCTTTATTGCACTAAATATTTGAAGCCGCATCTCAGTTCATAGTGCATCTCAGTTTGGACTGGCTACATTCCAGGTGCTCAGAAGCTGCAAGTGGCTGGTGGCTCTCTTACTGGACAGTGAGGCTCTAGGAGGTTCTTAACTATTTCTGTGCCACGAACTCCTCTAGCATCTGTCAAAGCCCATGGAATCCTTTTCAGAATGTGTTTACACAAATAAGACAAAATACATGGGATTCCAAAGGAAACCAGTTACTTTGAAGTACAATTATCAAATTATTTAAATATTTACAAAAGTGTGGTAACAATACCACATTAAGTAACAAAAACAAAATCCAGGGCAAGCCTAATACTTATAATAATATTAAAATAAAACAATGAACAGAAACAATATTTAAACCTACCTAAAGCAACTGTGATATGATGAAAATGTCTGTGGTTTCATTTGACAGCAAAATCCCAGATTGGAACTCGGATCTGACATTAGGCCAGTGCAACAGGAATGTAATGCTAACTAACTAATACTATGCTTGTTGCCCATATTTGCATTTAAAGAAAATACTAAATTTTGGTTGGAGGTTAATAAAAAGTAAAATGTAACATTTCTCCTCTAGGCCTATGGACCTCCTAATTCCTATCTGGGGAACTGCTTGACAGAGTGGGCTCTCACCATTCATCTCTCGTGCTCCCAAACACCACTCCTTCCAGGAAAGCTCACTTTTGGGTGATTCTTAACAATGATCATAATTGCTACACATTTGATAAGCTTCTCCTAGTTTTCTCGATTTTACTTTTTCCTCTCTCTTCTTCTATCACTGTCACTTGCTCTTTTTGTCCTCACCACTCTACTCTTTAGTATCTTATTCTACAAAATACTCAAGTGATACTGAAAGAACTGAGCCATTCAATAAATGAAAATAACATGTGTCACAGCACTTTTCTTAGAAACCATGGGTATAAAAAAGTATAAAACCAAAAAAATATAAAACGCCAGCTAATTATAATTCTCACAGTACCAAGTACATACAATATAAATGATATTTGCATGTGAGCTAAATTGCCTGTATTTGAGAATATAACATATAGAATGTTATTTTCACAAGTTAAATATGTCCCAAAACTTATACATATTGATAAGTTGATGAATGATACCCTAAATTCTTTGACTATTCAAATGGAAAGGAGATATGTTATATTATTATATATACTTAGAATAGTACTCTAATCTTAACAGCTAATTTTTAAGATTTCATTTTGCTTTGAGTTATGGAACTAATTTGGTGGGTCACATCAGAGTACATCATATGGTAGTAAGGTAAACACAATTTCATGAAATTTGTTTTATATATTTAAATATGTATGATATATACATATGTTATATATAGCTCCACATATTTGAATGCTGGGTGATAATGTAAAATATGTATATTTTCTACTGTGAGTCATGGTCAAAAAAAATTTGACAATCTTAAACATTGCTGTGGGAATACAAAATGGGTCAGCAACTATGGAAAAATTTGGTGGGTCCTCAAAAAGTTAAACAGAGAATTACCAAAAAACTCCACAATTTCCCTCTTGGTATATGCCCCAAAGAATTGAAAACAAGGATTCAAGGAAATACATGTACACCCATGTTACAGCAGCTCTATTTACAACAGCCAAAAGGTGAAAATAGCCCAAATGTTCATTAATGGGTGGCTGAATAAGCAAATTGTGGCCTATCCATACAATGGGCTATTATTCAGTCAAAAGAAAAAAATGAAATACTGATACATGCTATGAGAATGAACCCTGAAAACATGATGGCAAGTGGAAGAAGCTAGATACAAAAGGTCACATATTACATGATTCCATTTATAAGAAATAGCCAAACTAGGTAAATCCATAGAGAGAATGCTGATTGGCTGCTGTCCTGGGGTCCAGGAATAGGGTGCGGGACGGGGGCGGGGGCGGGGAGGCGGAATCTGCTTAATAGTTAAGGAGTTTCACTCTAGATGAAAATGTTTTTAGACCGAGATAGAGGTGGTGGTTGCACAACATGGTGACTGTACTAAATGCCACTGAACTGTCACTTTAAAATGGTTAACTTTATGTTATGTGAATTTCACCTCAAAAAATTAAAGAAAAAAACGTTTTACCATCTTCCCTCTAGAAGGCTCCTCACTAGGTTGCTTTGCCATGTGCATTGTGTTCACTTGCGGTGCTGCCACATCGCCACCTACTGGTGAAGGCGCCTCCTGTCCTGCTCAGGAATGAAGATGCCTGACTGCCAGGAGAGCCACCCTCACATCAGTAGTTCAAAGCTCAAGTCAAGGCCCATGCTCTTAACTGGGGTGCCAACTGCATGAGTGTCCAGTTGATTCACAGTGACAACCTCCATCCCCTTTGAGGTTTGGGCAGGAAGAAGGATGAGTTTCTAGTCCTGGCCCTGAAATAGGTCTCAAGAAGTCACTGAATGTATCTGTGTACTAACTGAGAACAACACCTCCTACAGCAGGGTTACTGTAAGGGTTAATATAAGATAGCATAAGGAATGCACCTACTATAAATAGATGTTCCCAAATGTTAGTTCTGTTCCTTATATGGGCTGGACTTAGGAATACCAAACAAGATGACTCTTACCTCCAAGAGGCTCCCCTGCTTCAGAATGTCATTGGATAAAATATAAGACTGTGGGTGCTTGGAGCAAAGCAACTGGGATCTGGAGCACACAAGCACAGAACACAGAACAGAAACTAAACATAATACAGAGCCAAGAGACGAAGCACAGGACCTGGTAAGTGCCGGGTGTCTAACGGAAACGGAGGAGAGAAGGAAAGGAAAGACCTAGCAGACATCCTACTTATGTTCCCAACTGAGAGGGGCGGATGCACTGAAACATACATGAGGCAAAGTATTTGTATATTTTTGCAAATGGGCTTGATTATATGTTCTATAAAAATTACATGGAAAGAAGAATGGATTGTGATCGGCAGTTACAAAAAACAATCAGAAAAGACAGACAAAAACCATGTGCTTTCAAATTGTGAAGCCAGAGGTGTGAGCAACTCAGAAGGTATAAGCAAGAACATGGAGGGAAGTATCATAAAATTAATTAAAAATAAAATAGGAAGGAAAAATGACCAGAGCAAAATGCACTGTTCCCATGGCAGATGGTTTGGGATTTGTAGAGAATTATATAAAGTGGTGTAATTTGGCATTGGAAAACCCCAGAAAACAAAAACTTTCTACTCATATGCTTCTAGGAATGTTTACAGGATCAGTGTTGGGGGAGCGGGTAGGAAAAACCCTGTAAGGAGATATAGGAGGCCAGGCTCCCCCAGGTCATTTCACGCCTCTCCTCTTCAGAGCCTTCCCACTTCCCATCCATCAGGGGTAGCTTTGCCCCCCACCCCCCATCCTCCGGCATCCTGACCAAGAATCGAATGATGATCTCCTTCCAGGAAACCAAGTCATTTCTGACACATTGGCTTTACTGGGCTTCTGTGACATCAGTCTATTCTGTTATTCTTCTATTTCTGTGACCATTTGGTCTTTTTAACCTCAGAGCTCATCCTCTGTCCCTCCCTTAAATCATAAGAGGAACTCAGAATTTCGTATTAAGCCCCTTTTCTTCTCATATAGAAATATTGCTTATGATATTTCATCTAAACTCTTAGCTTTAACTACTGTGTGATGTTTCTTGAATTATTTCTCTACCTCAGATCTCACTGCTGAGGTCCACACCCATAGGTACCTTTTCACATTTTATTGTACATCGCCAACTGAAATTCAGCACATCAGTCTGAACACACCACTTCCCTTCCCCTTTTCCCAAATTCTCTCTCTCAAACATTTCTTCTTCCCACTACCACTGTCTAAACTCAGAGACTTATAATTCTTTGCCTGGCTCAATGCAACAGCCTTCTTAGTGGTCTCCTGGTTCTCCCTATTGCTGCTAGATTGTTCAACAGTTCCCTCTCCATTACTTTAAGAATAAAGATGAACCTTTGGTTATCACACTACACCCTTTGCTACTTCTCCAACATCATGCAGCCCTATGCTTCAGTCATAGGGAACAGTCTTCAAGTCCCTACAACATCACACCACCAATAGTGTTATGCTTTACTCTGTACATGTTGCTTTTCTCCCTGTTCCCCAACTCTAACCCTCACCCATTCCTCTGAGAAGCTCTGACTGGCTGTCCCAGGCCAAGACAAATGCTCCTCATTTGGACTCCAGGAGCACTTGTTACACAGCCTTGTAATTATTAGTTTACATGCCTGCCATCTCATGAAACTGTGAGCTGCTTGCAGGAATTCAAGACCACACCCCTTATACCTGAATTCCCAGCATCTAGCATGGCTGGGCATCATGGAGTCTAACAATTGCTAGCTGGAGTTTATTTTGAATGCCCACAGCATTCCTCTGTATAGATTAAATACATGAAATATAGTCTTTTGCTGTGCATCTGTCTAGTGATTTTCTGTACAAACCAAAGAGCAAACATCATATGATAGCATAAAATAGCCTATTTTTATTAAAATGACCAGAGAGATGTAAATTCTAGTGATTAATTTTGAAATCTTCTGCTATTATCACAGAATTTATTTAAAGGCCATAGTCCAACCCTTAGGAACAATAAAGCAAGATGTGCTCCATGAAATTTTATAACCTTTGCAAACACTTGTCAATGACCAAACTAAATTTTACTGGACAGACTTACCTAGCTTATCAGCCACAGAGAAGCAGCTCCAAGCAAAGAAGTCTACCACGCCTCAACGTGCTTCTTTCCAAGGATGAGCTAACTACCTTCACATCATGGGAAGGTCTACCATGTTTTTGATGCACATACAGAGGAATTGAAACATTTAAGCAAAATGGTCAAAGAACGAGTCCAAACTCTATTCTTGTTTTTGCAAACTTTCCTCTTAAGACCAATGGAAGTCACATTGTCGGCATTTCAGAGTATAACTATGAGGCAGTAATAGTTATTCATTTGTGATCTGGTGTCCCCTGAGGTCACCAGTGTGTTGGTGGATGGTCACAGCCTTGCTGGGTGGTCAGAACCACTATAGCTGGACATTGTCAGGTTGGCCAGGTATAGCATCACCCTGCTTCTGACACAGGTCACCTCTTAGAGCCAGACTCATGGAAACACTGAGAAACATAAGAAATGTTGGCTTTGTAAAAAGAAAAACATTTGAGAAAAAATTTCCCAACATGTGCCAGGAAGCTGAGTGCCCACAAACAGGCTGCTGGTCAGGGAAGGCTGACTGTGCTTGAAAAGAAGACGGGCATCAGGAAATAACCTCACCCCAGGTTTTGCTTATTAAATTGTCTGCCACCAATGGGAGAGCTCCTGCAGTGGTTAAACATAGGTGTGGAGGGACCTGTAAGAAATCAGAGTCCTTATTCAAATTTTCTATGACTCAGGCCCTCACCCAACTCCCCTTCTTTACTTAGAGGATGAAAATAATAGCACCTGCAAGATTGCTCGCTAAGCACTGGTTGCAAAATAGACCCTAAGGGCTCTTCTGATCAGGTAGATGACTAACTCTCACACTACCACAGTGAAGCATAAACATGTATGTCTCAACTGCTCTTCCAATTTAATTAAACACACACACATTAATTCCTCAGCCAAGTCAAAACATATTTAGTACAACAAAACTACTCTTTCCTTGTGGACTTTTAGTTAACAACAAAAAATCAACAGCAATAACAAAACAGGGCAAGTCTAGTGAAAAATCAGTCTGATTTCCTGTTACGTTTTCTGAAGTACCAGCAGTGAGAAAGCAGTAGCTCCACTCCAGCCACAGTGGCCTCCTTGCTCAGGGCCTTTGCACTTGGCTCTTCTCTCTGCCTGAACTCACTCTGCCCAGATATCCCAATGGTTGGCTCCTTCTCTTCCTTCAGGTCTCTGCTTGTCAGCAAGGTATACCCTGACCATCATACATAAGGTAAGATTTCATTCCCCTGTCACTGTATGCCCCTTTCCTTGCTTTACTTTATTTAAACATATCTTACTTTCTGAATAATACATATGCCGGAAGCCAATTCCAGCATGACAGCAGGGCTGAATCTGGGAATGGCTGATGGCATTTCCCCAAACCTGAATAGGATACATTAAATTGATTGTTTGCTGCCAGACAGCTAAGGGCATCTTAATCTACATGTTATTGCCTCCTACTGGCCAAACACCTGAACAGCCGTAGACTAATTCCCCCATTCTGACAATGCCTCTGTATACGAAACCCTGACCCTTTGAAGTGTATATCTCTGCCTTGCTTCAGGACAATTTGTGTTAATAAAAAGCATGGGGTCCTGAGACGAGGAGATCTTAGTGTCCTTTAAACTAGGCTCCTCTGACCCCCAAATGCCTTTCAAAATTATATTTCGTCTCTGGACTCCTATTTAATATACACACAACCTTCTCCAAATTTCCTGAACCTTTCTTAATGCTGGAACAAGAACCCCAGCATACATATTTACTCATTTGTAGTCTGCCACTGACCCCCATGTGAATGTAAGATCTGTGGGGTAGGGGTTATTTCTGTTTAATTCCTTGCTATAATCCTATTCCTCAGAACAATGCAGGCATGAGAGGTGTTCAAGAAATACTGAATAAATGAATGAGTAAAATTTGTTGCAATTTAACTTACTCCATGTCTATCATGTAACATAATGTGCCTTGTCAACAAGCAAACTAACATCAATATCTACATTAACAAATGCTTACAACAGTACCTCTCTACTCATGAGCCTTGACAAGCTATGGTCTATGCTAAATTATAGGTCAGGTATGACTGTCTCCAAAATCATTTCATTTTCTCTACTGGTCTCTGTGTGCTGCCGCGGATATAAGGGCAACATTGCCTTGGTGTCACTAGCCCTCTGATGGTTTAAGTCAGTGGTTCTCAACCTTCTGGCCCTTTAAATACAGTTCCTCATGTTGTGACCCAACCATAAAATTATTTTCGTTGCTACTTCATAACTGTAATGTTGCTACTGTTATGAATCGTAATGTAAATATCTGATATGCAGGATGGTCTTAGGCGACCCCTGTGAAAGGGTTGTTCGACCCCCAAAGGGGTCGCGACCCACAGGTTGAGAACCGCTGGTTTAGGTTAATGTGCCTGTCCAATGATTTGCTTAATCCCCAATTCTCTGAATTTGGTTGAACTCTCCATACCCCAACTAGAAAGAATGCCAGTTCAGTGGACTGGCAGCCAAGCGATCTGGGGTGCTTTTTATCCAAACATTGCATGTGACTGCCGAGGACAAACACAGGGACTGTTTGTGGGGGAGTCCAGGTTGAACCAGGGTAGCAAGTGTAGAACTGACTGTTAAAGCCAAGGATACCCAAGGTGAGAAGAGAGGGAGCACCAGGAAGCTGGTCTGGGGAAGTTCTTGCCTTGGACCCACACTGCCTCAGGCTTCTGGAGTAGCCTGCATGAGCAGGGCAGGTCCAGTTAAAAGGAGCTGATGGACATCACCTTTGAGCCTTAACACAGTAAAACAGGTTTCTGATTTGCAAATGGGTTCTTGCTGGTTGGATTGAAAACAACTTCATTTGTTCATGTTCAGAGTGAAACACTTTAAATGGACTTGACCTTTTGAGAATCATCAGACAGGTAACTTGAAAGGCCTTCTGTGATAAATGTGGCCCAAAGAGAGAAACATTTCAGATTCAGGCTGGTGATACAGAAAACTTATCAGTGGGCATCTTTAATCTTGTTAATATTTCTAATTAGAGTCCCCATTTACAGATGATGGCTAGACCTTTGGTTATGTGTAGCTCATGGATATTATTGTTAGTTCTATGACAACACTGATACTGTTCTGATCTGCTAGACATTTTGATTAATGATTTAGATGAAGCCAGAGGTTATCATGCTTATCACTTTGGAGAATGATGTGAAGGTGGAGGTAGCTGAACAAAAGCTGGATACACCCTCTCTGAGGATATCATTGGGAAGTTTCTTGCAGAGGGCACAGGGTTGGGCTACTTCAGAGTCCTTTTTCAAAGCTGACATTTTGTTAATCTGATTCTATTACTGATGAATGTAATATAGGCATTTCTCATAGCAAAGATCCACATGTAAACATCTATCTCCATATATTAACTCTATCAAAGTATTGGGACCACATACTTACATTTTACATTTCTTCAAACTTAATTTATTATCCAAGATGGGAATTGCATATTTCCCAACACAAGAGAAAAAAAGAAAAGTTAAGTATAGATTACTAGTAATTGTTTAAGCCATCTCTTTTCAGTTTTTTAAAAAAGAGACATTCCTGTTTCATAGGTTTGTTTAATTTACAGCATGAACTGCTTTTTTACAGGTGAAAAAGCAGAAGGCTATGAAGTCTTACTGTCTAATGATGAATAATTAATAATATTAACAGTTATCATCTTCCTATGTTCCTAAGAGCAGTGGCAAATCATGAATTTTGGCTGTGCCTAATTCTGGCTTTCAAGATGGCATCCTAAGAACAGGGTGAAACGAGAATATATCAGTTTTGTTGTTGTTCCAAAGGTTCTTTTGGCACAGACTCTGCTCTAGCAGATGAGCTCACTTTCAATCACAACAATTTGACTAAAAGAATATTACCAGATATCCTTACACAGATTTTGAAAAAGAGACCTGTCCTTGAATACTAAAGAGTGAGGGGGATAGGGCACCCTTCTACTTCAATTCTATTGAAGAGTTTTAGTCCCAATTTCAAGATTTTGGGACTTCTGTATAGCCACAAAATACGGAGCATTATATTCAGGTAATTGAAAAGCATATTTTCAGTAAGCACAATTTTTGTTTTATAATTCACTTTTACAACTATTTAACATTTGTCTGCTCCCATAAACTTTATTTCCAACTTGCTAAAATCCTGTCATGTTCCAGGAGCAATACTACCTATGGGGCAAAGATGGTAGCTTCTGCAACCCAATATAAGTCTAGGTGTGTATTACCTCCACTGTCATGTTTGTTTATATTCTAGATCAGGGGTGGGCAAACTTTTTGACTCGAGGGCCACAATGGGTTCTTAAACTGGACCGGAGGGCCGGAACAAAAGCATGGATGGAGTGTTTGTGTGAACTAATATAAATTCAAAGTAAACATCATTACATAAAAGGGTACGGTCTTTTTTTTTTAGTTTTATTCATTTCAAACGGGCCGGATCCGGCCCACGGGCCGTAGTTTGCCCACGGCTGTTCTAGATGCACCTGCAACATATTTATTTTCATAAGGAAAATTATTACTCTCATTGGGACCAAAGAAATGATTAACACTGACAGCAACCAGGTGAAATAGCTTTGCTATGAAATAGTGGCGGTAAGTCAAACATGTTTATAATTCCAGGTGATCAATACTGAAAGGTAGGCTGTGTTGAATAAACTTTTTAAAAATACAATTTTTATTGATTTCAGAGAGGAAGGGAGAAAGAGACAGAAACATCAATGATGAGAATCATTGATCAGCTGCCTCCTGCACACCCCCTACTGGGGATCGAGCCCAGAACCTGGGCATGTGCTCTGACCTGGAAATGATCCTGGTTCATAGGTCAAAGCTCAACCACTGAGATATACCGGCTGAGTTGAACAAATCTTAACAGTTATATATCTCACCCAGCTCCCACAGCCCACTATGCCAGCATGAAGGCATGGGGACAAATACACTGACAACAAAGAGTAATTGCTAAGTTTAGGTTATCTGTTCATCTTCGTCCTCATCAATGGAAAAGAAAGCTTGTACCAAGTAGGATGGGTACTACATAAAATGTTACTTGTGGCTCTGGGATTTCAAGAAGTGTTTACTATTCTGTCCAGTGGTTTTCAAACTATTCTTTGAAGAATTTTTTGAGTGGGGTTTCAAGGAAAGAGTTATCCTGACACATTACAAAGGCTTGAGACACACTGGCATAATGGAAATCATGCCATTTAGAACTGGAAGATCTGTGTTCAAGTTCAACCTCACCAATTGGTAACCCTGAGCAAATCACTTAACTTATACATACTTCAGCTCCTGCCCATAGAAAAATGAGAACTTGGATACTTGAATAATACATTCCAATAGATGAGTTAATGAGCCAGATGGGGGAAATCATA